CAAAATGGCTAAAATTTTAGTACTAGGAGCTGTTAAAAGGGCAGATTGACTTGAAAAGTGAATGTTTTATAAGTAGATTTTGCCATGGGAATAAGGATATGGAAAGAAGGGTCAAAAATTTGAAAAGAATTTATCAAACTCTTTTTGCCAAAAGTATGCCATGGCCAAAAAAATAAAAAAATAAAAAAAATTATTGCTTACAAGCTTGCAATGACCTATGGCCCAGGTTGAAGAAAAGTAGCATTCTACTGTAGTTTTTTAACTAGGCACAAATCAGTCCCACTCTACAAACGAGGGCTGTGATTATACCTTAGTCTTTTAAATTTTTCTACGCCCATCCAATCAAACAGAAGCTGGGAAAATGAAATATAAGCAACTGTATCTTGCCAGTGTAAAAACATTATTAGCAGCATGACTCAACAGACAAACAGTATAGGTCTAAAATATTAGCCCCTCAAATTCTACACGTAGACTTTATTGCCATTGTACTCTGTGACCTTTAACAAATTATCTGCCATCCTAGGTCAGGGTCATTGAATCCATTATCATATATGGTAGTTAGCTTTATAAAGTAAACTATTCCTAGGTCACATTCAATATAAAAAAAAAATTAAAAGAAAGTTTTTAAAAACTGTAGGTGGTATGAATGACTAAGCATAACTTTATCATCTCACCACAATGCTAAATAAAAACAATTCAAAACGCAAGGCCAACTTCTCAGTTATTGGTGTCATCTTTGAATGTGAAAGACAGGATCTAAATATTATTATCCTTTTGTGGCTACAGTTTGTTCATCTGTAACAAAGTGGGGAAAAAAATCATCGTACTCAAAGGATTGTTAAGATTAGCGAACTATAAACATGCCTGCCAAGTACTGCTTAAAGCAGAAATTACTCAGTAAAAGTTCCCATAATGACCCAGTGGCCTGGAACAATCCAAGTTCAGTGTCCCAGCCTATCCATGCACATTTTTTTTTTTTTTATCAGGGAAGTAAATATTCTGGGCACTGCTGACCTCTGAGAAGTCATTTGGGTTTTTAGGTACTTGGATGGTAGAATGAAGGAAGGGCAACAACTTCTACTAAACCTTTTCTCTTTTAAACCTTATCTAGGAGTCTTAAATTGAGAATTATATCAGCCTAAAATCGGAAAACGGAATAAAAATATACATCAGTATCGAACTATAGTATCAAACTATACTTAAAACATCAGTATCAAACTATATATAAAAACAAATTGGCAATAATTAATAAATCAAAATTCATACTAATTGGAAAGGAGAGGCTGCAGTCAATTCTCAGTCTATCTATCTGTGATGTTGAGAAAGTCTATGTGCCCAATGAACTGGACAGCTCAAAATACTTCTAAGATAACTTTCTGAAAATTCCCTGGGCTTCTGGGTTGGTGGCTTGACCAAGAGGCTGCCCCGCTACAGCTGTCCAAGAAGATCCTTGACTTAGGATAAGTCTGTACTAGCCCTGCCGAGGTTCTAGCCCCCAAAGCTGAAACGACTTTAAAGAGTCAAAGGTGGCTTTCAAGGACTGGAATTCTTCTACCCTCCAAGGAATAATAACCAACAATGTGAATTAGGACTGGCAAAGTCACCCCAGAGCACCCGAGGGACCCACTGGACTTGGAGTAGGGAATAAAAAGGACTAAGACTAGGGCATGGTCTTAAATTACCTTGCTTCCGCAGATAGACTTCCTTAGAATTGGGGCTAACTTAGAATAGGGATAGCTGAGGCTTCCACTTCTGAACATAGGACAAAAGGTACCATTGTTGAGGACTGAGGTTAAGGCATTCCCTATAAATTTTACAAGGCCAGTAAATGCCACAGGGAAATTTTGGAACAATTATTTGTTAAATCACCTTACAGACTATAATTGTTCTCTCATATCATAAACACCATCCCAGTGTTTCTCAAAATATAATGAGGGAATCCCTGACATCAGAATCACTTAGGGGTACTTGTTTAAAATACAGATTCCTAAGTCCCACCCCAGACTAGAATCCAGGAAACTAGAGTCCAGCCCATGAATTGAATTTCTAAGGAGGAACCCATTGACTCAGATGATCCATATCAAGGCAGGAGAATTGTCTATGTAGTCCATTAGAAATTTAAGGACACTCACAGATTAGGGATTTGCATATTTTCCCCCAAATGTTTAAGTAACATAAAAATGAAAACAATATTTCTTGCAATGAGTTCTTAAGAACCATTGCAGTTTATTCTATCCACCTATAATGAACGCCATTATTAAAATATAATTGTGAGCATAAAATTATTGGGAAAAATATCAACTATGCTTCACAAAAATATTGCCTTTATTGTGTCACTAAAAGTAATTACGCTATTAAAGGAAATTATAATTTTTTTTTAAGTATCAGTCATTTGGCTCCAGAAACTTATTAAGCTGTTAAACTCCTCCCACAC